TGATTAATCTGTCTCACGTTATCCGACGCATTTATATAAGAAATAGAGGGCACCTAGCACATACTGGATTATTCGTGATGTTTCCCGATCCTTCTAGAATATCATGACGTGTTACCAGCGTCACGTGACTACCGCTGTCGTGACAATATGTAATTCATCCTGTTTTCATAGGTATCTTTACACAATATATCATTCCTAATTCTTGTTAAACAGCTGAAAAACTGTATGATACTCCCTTCATATGAACTGAAATATTCATCGATTTGTAATGGAAGAATGGAAAACTTGATATTTTAATTCAGAATAACTAATTAGAAAAACAGTGTTACTCATGTGATAAAGTATTATTCTATCCCTAGCATGAATTTTTAGCATGGTTGGGCAAGAGTGCATCACATGGTGTGAAACATTTTTCATTGCTGCCTTGAAAGCTGGGCAACATATTGCATCAATGTTGCCCAGTTATAAAGGCTGTTTCCATGTATACATGATGTCATAGCAAGACATTTCCAATTATAATTTTTTTGCAGCACAGTGAAAACATGCTGATTCATTTAGGCATAATTACAAACAATTTGCTCAAACATGTAAAATGAATGTGGACACATCTTATGACATAAAATTTCAGTTACTTGCAGATGAGGAGCTGCAGAATTGTTCAGGCAGCACAAATGTGCAAATGATCATTCTTTGCAACAGTGAAAACACACACATTCATTTAGGCCTAATGTATAGACAATGTTGGAAATTTCACCACAATTCTAAGTAAATTTTGTGCTCAAGTTAGACAGGTGTATACTTTATATGCTTATTGGTATGATCACATGATGATGGGCTGATATATTTTGAAAACTAAACAATTTCTAAATCTTGATGATTTATCATTGATTCTCAAAATGATATCAAAATCTTCAATATAGGCCCAGTGACATAGGCTAAATACACTATGTGACAGCACCAGTAATCCTGGACACAGGAGAGAATGTTTAGAATAAGACAATTATTGGTTGGTGATTTGTTTCCCTCATAATCACTTGATTAGTGTTCATAGTCACCCAAATTAAAGAATAACTGTACTTCAAAGTTTATCTTTAAGCTAATTTTCAAATCTCCTCTTTCTTTTCATCAGCAATCCACATTTAATTTTTTTTTAAATCACAACCACTTGCTACTCTATCACAACAAAGATTACGTGCCAGTAACCACAAATGTTAAAATAATTAACTTTATGTTACATTGAAACCAGAATGCTAATCCTACATTAGCATCTATACAGACTTAGATAGATAATTTTAACAGACTGAAATTGATATAAATTTGTGTGATAAAATCTCTTAAAAACAAATATGTAATTTCAAGTTTTCCATGAGAATATGCCTAGTCTGAATGCTCAACAAAAACTCAAATGTAATGCCTAAAGATAGTTTATGTAACAGTTTAGTATTTATCTTATCTGGTACTTTCGATATAAATCTGAAGAAAAAAATAACTGGAAAAGAAAAATACAATTTTCATTCAAAGCAACTTTAGACTTATTCTTCATATACAATTATTTAGGTATTGTAAAAAAATAACTTTTTACTTACATGTTTAAGCTGTAGCACCTGAGGAAGATCTACATCTAAAACTAAGCCATTATCCAAAGCTCTTTCTAGTTTCTTGAAATCTGGCATTTCTTGGTCTAAAAGCTCTTTGGCTTCTTTTTCAAACTGAATCACCTGTTCCACCATATCCTGATGTTTGACAGAGTAGACAGAAACCACATTATCATAATTTACAAAAAACAAACAGTCCTTTATGGTTACTAACTTTACTCACATCTACCCATTATATAAAAATGTTTTATTTCATTCATGGTATTTTAAGCAGCAGCACTGAGTTCAATGATGTCAAGGGTTATTCTGCCTTAATTCTCAAGTGGGATAAGATTTCATTCTCTATGTTTAGGTCTCATAGAAGCTAAAATGTTATCCTATCAGCAAACAAAGTGAGAATAGTCCATCAAAAATCTCAACCCTACCTGTTAACTACATTTAAAACCAAAACTTCTCGATGCAACAGTTACATTACCTATTTTGGTACTTTTAGAAACAACCAAGATGGTATATTTTGACTTGTAGAATAATAAATAAAATATTATGTTTATAACATGCAGAGAAGCTGATTAAAAATAATTTTAATCTACAGTTACTAATAATCATAAAAGATTCACAACCTGCTAATTTCAGACTTGAAAAAAAGGCCTACTGTGGGTTTTGAAGTAACGTTTAAGAACAAAATTTTTGTGGCTTTGATTCATCATGAATTACATTGAGAAATTGGAGCATTAAAATGTTTTAAAACATATTGTGCAAATTTTTAACTGGCATAATAAAACAGCTTGTACATTATTAAAAAAAAACTTCAAGCTATCAACTGATAAACTTGAAGTAATACTATGATGAGCTGTTAAATCTTTTGTCAATTCCAAAAGAATGGTGATGTTCAAAGAGCCAAATGATGTATTTGACTAAGAGCTGTGCTGAAACTAAGTTCTTTATTATTTACTTTGCACCATGAAAATTAATCTACAGTAACAATTCTACCAAACAAGTTGTCACAGTTTTCTTTTTTCTTAATAGTTATATCTAATTTTGGAAATATCAAGCAGTTGTTTTCCACCTTTTAAACTGCAGAAGTTAGTCTTGATATATTTGATTTATGAATGAATTGTGTTATCAAGAATTATTAGCAATGATCTCACCTTAATCAGAATTCCTTCTTTGATTCCACATGGAAGTTTCTGTATCTGTTCATAAAACAACTGAAGTTCTTCTACTGTAAGTCGTGATCCATACTTGCTCTCTAATGACTGCCTGTTTCTGAAAGAACATTTGTTACATTTAATTAAAGAATAATTAAATGCACACTACAAAACAGTTTAAAATAACGCCGTCCAATCTTTAACAATTAATCTAAACTGTGTGTGTAATGTATTGTATGATGACATAAATAAAGATAAATAAAACTAAACCTTACACAAACTCTTTTGAATCAGCTGTTGGTACCTACTACATTAGTTACAAGCAAAAGTACCTGTCTCCAGTGATTGGAAAAGTTGAAATTAATCTATCAATTTAAATTATTTGATGGACTCTAAAAAAGTTAATTGTGTTATACTCTTGGTTTTACTTAGAGCCAAAGCTCTGAGCTACTTATTCCACCTACTGCGAAAAGTAAGAGCTATGAGCTGCTCAACAATAACATACGGTAAATCTACATTTTTATTCTTTAAGTTACGTCACATTTTGAACTGTGAATGATAGTGTGATTAATTCCTAACAATTTAGTGTAGAATATCATGCTTGTGAAGTAAAATTTGACATCAACATTATTCATGCCTGTTCTCACATCATTTTAAAAGTGAGCTTTGCTTGCTGCACAGCTTTTCTAATGGGAGACATACGAATGGCTCAGACAGACAGCACGGTTCACAATATATATATTAGTTATACATTTTTCTACACATTATTTGACTTTATAACAAACTTCTTTTTCTTCTCCATAATGACCTTAATCCCAACTAGTCAGGCAGTAGTTTTATAAACCAAAAATATTTACACTTGAGTGGCTGCCCCAAATGGCAACCATATAGAAGAATCATGTTTGGTGACAAGGATTAAAACTTGCAACCCTTAAATTGTGAGTCGAGTGCCCTAACCACCAGGCCATGCCAGGCCCAACTTTATAACAAACTGAATCTCTCAAACTTGATTGCATTGCTGTATGTAAAACTTTAAAAATACAATTTTTCAATACAAAATCCACTATATGATCTTGCATATTGTTAAATTTTCAAATTGATAACTCACCTTGTTCTGACTTTTCTACTAAGAAGTTGCTGGGCAAGAGTGGAAAATTTCTCAGCATCTTGAACGACATCTTCTAATGCGTCTAGCAGTTCCATTTTTGGAAATTTGTTAGCTTCTGCTTCTTGGACCAACTCTTTTAATTCCGTAATATCTTTGTCACAAAAAACATTATGTTAGGGTTAATGATATTCCAAAGTGTAATTTTCCTAATGAAAAAAAAGTGCTATGTGCAACATGGAATATAAAAAGGTGCTAAGAGCACTTTAGACACCTTTTCACACTAGAAAGATGACAAAATGAGATGCAATGAGAAAAGTATATAATTATCTACATGCACACATAAACATTTACAGAACAATTCAACACGTTACCTTTACCATTTTCAAAGTTGTTCTGCAAAAATGATCTCACCCACAGTTTTGCATTACTGATATCCTTGATAGAATGAGTGTGGGTTGGAATTTTCCTATCTATAGCAGCATTCTAAAGGGATTGGGCTTAGGTGATTTTTCACAAGAACGACTAACTAACACTTGTTAGCTTAGAAAATGAAAACGTTTCTGGGATTTTGTGGGTTAGGTCACTTTTGCATAACACCATCCAAATAGTCTTTTACTGATATCCAGTACAACTGTAAATTCCAAGCCTCACTGATATATTTATTATATTACAACAACATTTCTATATCATGATGTATTAACTGTAAATATCAAATATGCATCATTTTAGTCACAAAATGATAGCTAACAATCAGAATTTTATATTTTGTAGCATATGTTTTCTTTACACATAAAACCTGTCCATTTTAAAGAGTGTTTGATAAAAAATTAGGACAAGAATTAAAACAAGTTACTTGAATATTTACAATTTAATTAATTCATACAATTATTTGATCAAGGAACACAAATCTATTAGTTCATTAAACCACATAACTTAAGTAGTATTTAAAATAAGTTATGAAAGCCAGAAGTATTTTTAGAAATCATCTGAAACTAAACCTTATAATCAGTAAGGAATTTACCATTATTAACTTAAACTTTCTGTTTAAAATCACATTTTACAAATGAAAAAAGGTAATATAAAACATTGGTAAATATTAACTGTAAGTTTAATTAGTAAAATGAAAATTATCTCACCAAGTTTTTCATTCTCAGGAGCATGTAATGCATTTTTCACTTTGACATTCCAGTTTTCGAATGACTCGGCTCTTACTTTCAAACGTTGTAGCATTATTCGTAGCTCATCAAGAGTATAACGATACCTGATCAAAATTGTGCATTAAAATTGGAACAACTAACACAAGCTGAACAGAGACAATTTATTAAAATGAAAGTAGCAGCATAAAAACAGTTACAGTAAAAGCTTTTATTATCTGGCATCTGCTGGACCTGGCCAGTGCTGGATAGGTGGAAATTCCAGTTACAAAAGCACTTCCCTTACAATATTTTACAGGAAAAGTTTTGATACTTGTTAGTATTCTAAAATACAGTATTTCTACATCACCTATAACAATAACAGTTTTATACAATAATAAATGTTGTACAAAACCTTAAACTGTATAAAAACATTTATAAATACAGTATTTTAAGTATTAATTACAATATAAACAGTTAACTGAAACTTGTCAGCTGGAAAGAACATAAACAAAACCACAACAGCATCACTAAGCTACAATGAATATTTGTATTTGGAGTAATTGTAAGTATCCAATTACAAGAGCTTTCCAGATATTAGGTCATCAAGAAATCACTGTCTTGTTTTGGAACATTTTCAGTAACCACCATCCAAAAAACGTACATCACGTATAATAGTTAAATGAACTGCCTAAAAGTCATGTTAATGTAGCCTATATAATGTGTAAGGTTTAGTATACTCTAATCCCTTATAGGGCCCGGCATGGCCAGGTGGTTAGGGCGCTCGACTCGTAATCTGAGGGTCGCGGGTTCGAATACCCGTCACACCAAACATGCCAACCTCTGCCTTTGCCCGGTCCCAAGTCCAGGATGAGAAAGGGGGAGGGGTTGGGCACGGGGCTAGCAACTCCACCCCGTAAAACCAACCTGCTACAAGTAACTGCAACAACACCTTCCGTTGGCGAGGTGTTGTTGCGGCCCTATGCTCCACTGGGAGTTTACTTGTATAATAAAAAAATAATAAAAAATCCCTTATAGAGACACACATATGGCATGTAATGCTGTTTGAATACAAAAAGGGAAACAACGCCTCTGTAGCCACAAAGAATATCAAAGAAGCTTATGGAAATGTTTTGAACATTTGTATGTGTCAACAATGATTCAACAAATTTTGTTCAGATGACTTTAGCCTTAAAAACTGTGATGGCAGGGGCCAACATGTTGGAATTGATATTGATGCTCTGAAGACGCTTGTTGAGTCTAACCCAAGGCAACACACTCATGAAATGGCCTTGAAATTGCATGTTTCTCATGAAACAATATGTAAACATCTAAGGAATATGGGAAAACACCTTAAATAAGGTGTTTAGGTGCCTCACGAACTCTCAGATGATCATCATTTCCAATGTGTGAACGTTGCCTCATCTCTTTTGGACAGAATTGTCACTGGTGATGAAAAATGAATTCTCTATGTGAATATTAAACGCCAAAAACAATGGCTCAGTCCTAGACAAAAACCACTTCCGACCCCAAAACCTGGACTCCATCCGCAGAAAGTGATGCTTTGCATTTGGTGGGACATCAAAGAAGTAATTCATTTTGAACTCCTAAATCCACAGCAAACTGTCACTGCAGAGATCTATAGTCAGCAACTGAAATGTTTAAATCAAGCCCTTCATCAGAAACGCCCTTCAATCGGAAAGGTGTTCTTCTTCTCCACAACAATGCACATCCACATGTGGCACGTTTGACGCAACATAAGATTATGGATTTGTGTTGGGAAGTTCTCCCCCAACCACCATATTCTCCAGATATGGCACCATCAGATTACCATCTTTTCCATTCACTGCAACACCATCTTAATGGAAAAACGTATGCAAATGTGGAAGGAGTTAAATAGGAAATCAACATGTTTTCTGCTTCAAAGCCAAG